CTCTCTCTCTCTCTCTCTCTCTCTCTCTCTCTCTCTCTCTCTCTCTCTCTCTCTCTCTCTCTCTCTCTCTCTCTCTCTCTCTTGTGTGTGCGCACGCGTGCGCGTTGGACGCGTTGTGAGGAAACCCGGGGAGGAGCTACCTACCGTTCGTTCAAGCCATGGGCTACGGCGCCTGTCACTTCACCGCGCCCGCTTCCGAGGTCCTCAGCGACCAGCAGGGTTATCCCTTTCAGCAAGGTCACTCTTGGTCCTTAACCACAGACCATTTCAAGATCTTTTCCTTTGCGAAAATTTCACAGTAATCTCGGTCGGAATTGATCCCTCCGTGTCACGCAGGAATCTTCAATCCTCTTACCGTTCTCTTCGGATCAGCTTACCTCCGCGCAATCAGAAGAGCGGCGAGGCCACCAAAGAGGGAACGTTAGCTTTCATTTGGCAAAGAGCAAGGGGTCAATCATGGCTCTTTTCAATGACTTCTCGAAAACGACATTTCCCGAAAATCATTTGCTGTCCATTCCACAAGGCTCAGAGCAGTGAGCCAATCAAGGGTCTTCTCAATATTTTCTCGAAAATGATATTTCCCGAAAATGATCTGCTGGTCAGTTCGCAAGGCTCAGACCAGTGAGCCAATCAAGGCTCTTTCCAATAATTTCTCGAAAATGATATTTCCCGAAGATGATCTGCTGGCCAGTTTGCAAGGCTCAGAGCAGTGAGTCAATCAAGGCTCTTTTCAATATTTTCTCGAAAATGATATTTCCCGAAAATGATTTGCTGGCCGGTTTGCACGACTCAGAGCAGTGAGCCAATCAAGGTTCTTTTCAGTAATTTTTCACAAATGATATTCCCTGAAAATGATCTGCTGGCCAGTTCCCAAGGCTCAGACCAGTAAGCCAATCAAGGCTCTTTCCAATAATTTCTCGAAAATGATATTTCCCGAAAATGATTTGCTGGCCAGTTCCCAAGGCTTAGACCAGTAAGTCAATCAAGGCTCTTTCCAATAATTTCTCGAAAATGATATTTCCCGAAAATGAT